CGCTCTGCATTTCACTCCATTGACTTTCACGACCACCACTGGGTATGTAACATGGCGTGTTTCTGACGTCAGCATTGTTTGGTCTGTTGGCTCCCGAGATTTGTTGCAGATTGATGAATGGTGCCTTGCTCCGCATTTGGAGCACCCCTTTTGGCTCTTGCATTCAGAGGCTCTGTGATTCGCACCGAGGCAATTGAAGCAAAGTCGTTTCTTAGATATAAGCTGCTTCCGTGCTTCTGGAGAAGTCACACGTTGGCAGTTAATAGGTTTGTGCCGTTCACTGTCACAATACGCACAGCTGTTTGATTTCCATGGTTTCTGATAGGTTTGGAGCGTTCTCTCGAATCTCCGATGGGGTGTACTGTGTTCTTTTCCTTCTTCCGGGATAGGATTTCTTTCGGTCCATCTCCGAATTGCTTCTACAAGCTGCGGAAATTCCCAGGCGTGCCATTGATCGTCGTCTCTCACCAGGTCTGACCGAATCCCAGGGAGTCTATCAATTAGGAGCCTGACGTAGCCATTGATTGTTTTCAGTTTTCCCATGGTCTCCATTGCTTGCACATGAGTAAGGAGTTTCTGATAGAATTCGTGTATTTTGGCAGCGTTTGATCCATTGATTGTAGGTAGATCCATGATCCCCTTCACATGTGCGGTGACAATTTCACTCGTCTTACCAAATTTGGTCTGCAATATGTTCTTGGCTCGCTCGTATCCTTCAGATGTAAATGGCAGTCCATCTATAAGAAGTCGTACCTTTGAATCCAGCAGTTCCTTGAGGTAGGAGAATTTCGAGACATTTGATATCTTCGCCGTATCTATTTCTGTACTGAATTGGTTCCAAAATCTCGTCCAATCGATGACAGTACCATTAAATTTTGTTATGCTGAGTTTTGGAAGCTTAACCCTCATATCTCCTTCCTGCGTGTTCAGCGTTTTCTCCACGGACTGTTTAGATTGGTACTGCTCTCTGAACTGCAATCTCATCTCTTCGAGGCGTCTTTCTTCTTCAAATCTTCTTCGTAACCGCAGCTCCTCTTCTTGTCTTTCTCTCTCAATCTTTTCCTTTTCTCTGTGTGAATCCAATGCTGAAATGGCATTGCTTGTCAATTCAATCGTATGCTCGAACCTCTCTACTCTTGCGTCGAACTCAGCACCCCATTCTTCCACCTTCTCTACGCTCTCGTTTTCTTCCATCAAAATGTTTTCGACTTGCTCTCTAAAACAATAAATTTCCTGTAGTCGGCTTTCTATGGCTTGAAGGTGTCTTCTGAGCTCTCGTTCCTTGTTATCTTCCAGAATTCTGGCCGTGGACTTGTCCTTGATATCCAAAATCTTGAATTTATCCTCCAGTTTCTTCATTATTTCGTTAGAATCCATTGTGAATTAAATTGCTCGAGACTTATTCGCTAAACTTCGGAATAGTCCCGTCGGAGGTGCCACTTTGTCGGGAATCGTATAGTTAGCCGCGACAATAAATCACGAATCTGTTCACAGAGATCTTTAATGTTTATCACGTTCACGATCAACACAACTACTACTACTTCAACAATCTCGACTGCTTTTATACCTAAGTCTAAGAATGTTCTAGCAACCGCTGTCATTATTGCGTACCATTATTACAAGGCTTCTAAAAATATTAATTACGTTATAGCTAATTTGGGATACCCTCAGAAAGTTCATGAAGGTTCCCGAGGTACAATTACGTCAATAAAACGAAAACGAGGCTATGTGTTTACATTAGGCCTAAATAAGCTATTATGAAGAGCTATTCTAAGGGATTACAAAAAAGCAAAAGTTCTAGTATGTTCTGGAACGTTCCACTATTTCAAGCTAAGTATAATGTTTATTAAGAATCTTGACATTTTCAAACCACATAAGCTCCTATTTAACATACCTAATCTTATGGTTTGCCTGGCCAGTCGGTGTCTTTTGCACGCCATGCTGGTATACAGAGTTTCTTGCAATCTACAAAACACATTCCCAGCAAGGCAGTTGGATCAAGAATCGTCCCAGTTGGACAAAAAGCTTCTGAATGCGCTCACCGCCAGCGCCAAGCTGCATGTTGATTTCAAACCAGTCTGTTTCTAAGAAATATCGATCTCCAAATATTCCTTGGTAAAAGCCAGTGCAGAGAAGAAAGGGGGGGGGGTCAGAGGGGTCACTGACCCGGGGGCCTATGGAATTAGGGGCCTATAAATAATAACTCAATTAAAAAAACTTAATAAATGAATAAATAAATGTAAATAAATGAGCCTCTCAATTATCACAACCTGTCATTAATAGTAACAATAACAAAGTCTATAAAGGAATAAAGTAAAACAAAAACAGTAATAATCCTAATATATTATCTCACTGAAACAGAGCCTGTAGTTTTAGGTAATTTTTTAGGAAATTAAAAAAAGTTTTTAACAAAACTAGAAATCGCTATGTGCCTTTTCTTGGAGTTCCTTCTCAGATATTGATAAATTTTGATAATTTATCTTGGTCTTTGATTTTCTTAGGAAAGTTGTATTTCATCTAATAGGTTCTCAAGGTTTGGCTACTTAGCATTGATTTTTGTTGGTCTTAGATGCAATACTTTTATTCTAATGTCAATTTGCTTCAAAAATTCAAATCATTTTTTAATCAAAATCATTTCTTTGAACGACTTTGAGTATTTTGACAAGCTCTCAATTTTTGACTTTGGAAAGATATCAAGCTTTCTGTACTCGATCTGCTGCATTTAAGAACAGAAGGTTAAGGTGACTTAACTTCACACAAAAACTGTAGCACGCACATCTGGATCTGACTTGCTTGAATTTAGTAAATGAAAGTAAATTAGAATAAAAAGAATTGCCAAAAAAACTGATTGGTACCGAAAAACCATTATGGCATTAATATACTACATTTGTTAAAATTATATCAAAATAGCCAACAGAAGTAAAAGCCACCAGCGTAATTTTGCCACGATAACAATTTTCACAAGAATTGTCTTCAAACACTTTTGGGGGAGCACTTCCCGTAAACCCGGTGACCATAAATCCTCTCCTGGTAAGAGCTTCTAATTGCAAAAGGTCAGAGAGAATTGCATGGTCAAGAAGAAGGGGGTGTGGTATAGGTACTGCCAACATTATGAAAGCAGCGTGGGATTTTACTTCTAGGCAAGGCCCATCATGTGACACCTCTTTGAACAAATTCAGTTTCAAAAAGTGTCTTCTATGTAAGGATTTTTCATCGGCAAAATTTTAAACTTGTCGGCAAATAAAGGAGGGCCCTAACGGGGGCTTGAAAACCTTAGATGAGCAAAATATCTAGCGACAGCCCCGCTTCCAGGCACAAATGCATCAGAAGTGCCGTCCCTATCAGGAACGGGAACGTTTGGAATTGTTCTCTGGTTACCTTTTGGTTGCTCTCAACAACACGGGATATTTGGGACACAGCCTTCAAACAGTACTGGACGTTTGGTTGGTCTAGGCCGGCATCGGACACGGCACTCTAGAAGAAAAGACCTTTTGGTTCCCTAGCCTCTTTTGGTTCCCTAGCCTCTTTTGGTTCCCTAGCCTCTTTTGGATTTGCATATAGTGTCTTTCTAGATGTTTTTCTCTTCGACCTTAGCATAAAGCGTATTTTAAAACCGACATTTCACGATTTTAGAAAGCTTGATAAAAATTATTTTATAACAGTTAAAGTTTGGAGAAATATCAATTGCCTCCAGTTGTTTTTACTGTTGAGATTGGCAATTAGTAGTTTAAAGCAATTTATTGCTCTTCATTTGGTACCTAATTAGCAAGACAGTTTCCTGTAAATATTATGTTTACAGGAAACAAGATGTTTGCGACAATGTTGTTTTAAGATTTAATTGCATTTTGTCATAAAAATGTAAATTTTCAGCAAAATGAATAGTTTTTGGGTAATATTACACAAAATTGTCATCTGCCTTTTGAAGATACCTGCTCTTCTATGACCAGTAAGAAGCGAGTACGTAAAATGGGGAAACCGATTCATGAGAAAATAACAATACCAAAGTACATGTAAGAAAAACAAGATATTGTAACGACCACAAGTTTCATACCCCCCCCCTCTCCCGACCCATTGGCAAAAGAAAAAATTTTTTAAGGATGAAAATGCAAAGGATTTCCTGAGCGCACGATCAAATAGTCTTTGTAAAGAAAGGATGCCAAACTGGTATGATTTGGCGCTTATGCTTGCAACATCTTGAGGATTTTCTTGATTCTGGTTATCTTGTCCGAGCAAAAAGAGATGAATTTGATCTAGTAGTCATGTGAAAATGCAAGACTTGGCAGAGGGTTTGTCTGACTATTATATAACATAAAGCTACCTTGCCTAGAAATTCGTGTCCAGCCTCTGAAAGAATCGCTATATTGCAACCGCGGCGGACACCTGGTCAAATATTGGGGGAGGGGGGGGGGGTTGGTTGGGAGACAAGCCTAATGTTTTGTCATGACACCACATTTTTCCATTGCTTTAGAACAAAAGACCATTGTCTTAAAGATATTCGGAAGCGACGGCCTCCCCTTCGCCCCCCAGATGTCAACCACTGCCGTGTTCTTCTTCCTTAATTAAATGTAATACCGATGCAGGCATACAAACAATAATTAATGAGTGGTTTGTTCAACAAGGTTTAAATAGGCAGCTGCCATACCGGCATATTGGTGGCACATCAGAGGAAGAACGGTATTGTGATATTAGACACAGGATAACATGATAAGATATTGTCACACAAAGTGATATGGAAGACTCAACAACTCTGGAAGAAGCTGGCCTAAGGGTTTCCGAGCGATCTTTGTCACTGACACCGTGAAAAGGTAGATAAAAAGATATCACTTTAAGGTTGATGATGACGATGAAATTACAAAGCCTTGGCAATCAAAAAATGCTTAAGGAATGGCTGAGAGTATTTATTGAGTATTGAACTACATAACAAATGGAATAACTAGAGATTAAACCTCTGGGCTATAATTGAACCCCCCTAACGTACAAAAAATGAAAGGCTAGTTTACCTCATTCTCTTTCCACTTGGCATTGACCTCCTTCATCATCGACTCCTGAAATGGAACAACAGTCTTACAATTGATTGTTTATCAAGAGGACATTGATACCGCTACAAAATAATAGTATTCGTTGTACAACCAATAGTGATCGCAAACTTTCTATAAAAGGTATCTAAAATTACTTTTTGTGGCTTTAAAAATCATCAAGCGCTGAAAAGCTAGAAACGATTAGTAACACAATGGAAATAGATAGGGACAGAAACATAGCATATTGAAAATTTTTTCATCCAGTTCTCCTCAGAGTATGAAGTCAGATAATGAGCAGAAATTTTATATCCAGGATCAAATGAAAAGCAATGTGAGAGAAAGAACGGCACATTTGATTTATTCTTTGGTTTTGACCAATTGGCGGACACCAGCCTCTCAGCTAGCTGGCCTAAGGTATCCCTTCAAAGGGCAGTTATTGATGGCAATCATTTTCGTATAAGAAAGTCGGTAAAAGTTACCAACTTTTCAAAAATTCTACCTGCCGAAATGTAATTTTTCACCGTACTTTGCCTACTCCTAACTTTAGTGCAATATAATTTGAGAGGCCTGTTGCGTATCTCAACCGTCGTAATGCATTGCATTGTAGTGTATTCTATTGTATTGCATTGTAGTGTATTGTATTGCATTGTATGTACTGTACTGTACTGTACTGTACTGTACTGTACTGTACTGTACTGTACTGTACTGTACTGTACTGTACTGTACTGTACTGTACTGTACTGTACTGTACTGTACTGTACTGTACTGTAATGTACTGTACTGTACTGTACTGTACTGTACTGTACTGTACTGTACTGTACTGTACTGTACTGTACTGTACTGTACTGTACTGTACTGTACTGTACTGTACTGTACTGTACTGTACTGTACTGTACTGTACTGTACTGTACTGTACTGTACTGTATCGTATTGTATTGTATTGCATTGTATTGCATTGCATTGCATTGCATTGTATCGTATTGTATTGTATCGTATTGTATCGCATTGTATAGTATGATTTATTTAATGTAAGTTGTTACAATAGTGGAAAAACACTAATTCAGACGGACATGGAAGAATATGTTATGTCAAGGAATGCATAAGATATATCAATTACTGTAGCTCCATGCATTTTTTTATGGAACCAAGTTTTTAGTCAAATTTTTGAATTTTTTAATTAGTCGGGCTGTTTTGATTTCATCTGGAAGTGAATTCCAGTTCTCGAACTGAGCGATCTGATTCCATAATTTGCAGTTCTGGCCTTTCTATCAAATGGGGATTTTGTACACAGTTGCAGCTATTTATGTTACAAAGGTTTGGCTAGCAATGACAATCAAAATGAGGATAATGGAGCCATACAAGCAAGGACCGTGTTGTGATGAGGGATAACCACAACCCTTAATAGCATGAAGATCTATGTGATACTAAACCAATTTACAATTAACAAATTTCATAACAGCATTAATAATGATAGCACTATAACAAAATTAAATGGATATGAAGTTATTACATATTCAATAACAATATTAAAATCTAAGAAATTTGATTTGATCTTTAAAAAGAGAAACAATTTGCTAAATTACAAAAAGGAGATCGAAACTTTTGGTATCGAAATCATCACTGATTTTTACTTTTGGATCGATAGAAACAAAAAAAAGACAGAAAAACTCCGAAACAAAACCGAATACTAGCACTTTTGAATGGCTAAAAACTTTGGTACCATCTGATATATCTTAAAATACCTAAATTTTACAACCGTTACTAAACCTCTTGTTTTGAAGAAATTTTCCTATTTATATTTAAAAGAAAACAATATGCATGATAATGCCAGTGTATCAACGTACTGCTGGATTCTATTTTATTGACTAGAAGTTGAATTGAATCTGCATGCATAAAATTCTCGCTATTTTTCAGTGGTAAATATAAAAAGACGAGCAAATTTATACAGTATTTACAATGTATAGATGTTTTTAGAAGATTAGTTAGACCATATTTTACTACTCTCAGTACTGCTACAGAAAGTTCGACATTTCTTGACGTAGACTATCAGTTCTCAGTTGGTCAGTAAAATCCATCCCTAGTTTGTTGGTGAAATTATCTACCGATAGGTGAAAAAGCACTGAAACTTTTCTTCATCTATCGCCACCCCCTAGTCTGGAAGATCAAACTACGTCACAATTTCCTGAGAATTAGCCATCAATAACAAGGAATCAACGTAGGATAATTGCACAACTGCAAGTTATTGCATAATACGAGCAACAGGGGAGAAACCGTGAATGAACAAGCTTCATATGAGCTGAATGGTACAGCATGCGGCTCTCGCGTGATTAGATTTGCGTCAACATTTCAAGACTTCGTGCAATGTCTTTAGAATGAACAGTAGTAGAAATTGGAAACCAAGTTTTTTTTAAATATATACTAGGCTTAGGGGCGTAGCTAGCGGGAGGTGTAGGGGAATTAACACCCTCTCCCCCAATACTCCATGAATTCCTCAGTCTGTCTACAAAATCCTTAGTTTGTCGGTAAAATCATCCATTATTAGATGAAATAGCATCTAAATTCTTCTCCATCTATGTCTTCGTCGGTAAATTTGTCTATTTATGACCCTTCCACCCCCCTGGTCCAGAAGGTCAAACGACGCCACTGACTGGTCGGCACTAGATCATAGTCAGCTAACGTACATGACGTCATACATCTTTACAACCGAGGACTAAGTGAAATAAGACGGAGGCTGCAAGCAAACTCGCTTGTGGTTTGCTGTGGCATTAACAAGGCCCATGCATCCCTACAGAACAGTTAAATGTTTTAGGCGAATGCGAGAAAATGACTGCAGGAAATCATTCTGTAGTTAGTTTAATCTACAGGGGCGTGTTTGCCAGATTTTCTGCTTACTTCTTTCGGGGAATTTTCTGCTAAAGCTGGAATTTAGCTTTTTCTCCAGGGGTTTCAATTCATAGCACACACAAACAGAGAAAAACGGGGAAAAGTGTCTATTCTATTCTAAAGCATTAAATAGGCCCTGTTTTGAAGTACTTTCTTACAGTTGAATCTATAGAACTCGTTTAAGTGCGTGTGCAGCTACGAAAACTCTCTCTTACGTTTTCGCCTGAGTCAGAGTAACTACCATTGATAATTATGTATGAAGCCGTTGCTAATTATGTATGACTGGTTTTGCCGCATAAGAACATTATCAAGCGTTTTAAAGAGAGTTCCCCGACAAAATTTGCTGTAATCAAGCCTAAAGTCCCTTTTAGAAGCATTGCGTCAGTCTTCATTTTCCATAGTTTAGTGTTTAGAACATTGACTGAGCTATTGGCAGTTGACATAGGAATTGAATTTCATGCCGCTTGCAATAAAGTTTTTCATCAAAAGGTTGGAATGCGATGACGTCATACTACCACTCATGCATAAGGTTGCCATAGTTTGTATGACGTCATGTACGTTAGCTGACTATGATCTTGTGCCGACCCCACTGACTAGGCTTCAGAAAACAGGACGAGAATGGAGCATTTAAGAGTAATTATAAATTGTGACTTTATCGTTATGCATCATTTAAAACTAGGTTAATGTTTGCGATCTATCTTCAGGGCCACCGAGGGGTTTTGGGGGCCTGGGAAACAACCGAAAGATGAAGCCACAACCACGGGCCTTGGATACAACAGAAATTTTAGCGACCACCACACCCTCAAGACAAGCTTCAAATATATTTCCGAATATTTCTTTCAGTCGTTGGTCTATGACGAAGGCTTTCATTTTCTTGCAATCGTTCAAAAACCTTTTGCTTTTTTTCGGGCATACTTTAGTTACGATTTATTTATTTCATTCTTTTAATTTGGAGTTCATTACTTACAAGGCCCCTTAGATCTCAAGGCCTTGGGGTACTTTTTCCCCTTCCTGCCCCCTCTCGGCGGTCCTGTTTATCGTGATGGTATCTCCGTTTTAAAAAGGTCCAACTTCAGTTTACACAGGTTTGTTCACACAACTTACGTATAGAAATTGTAAGAAACGAAAATATTCCTGTTTTGAAGGTGAAAGACTGAGCTTTAGTTAAGCTAATTCTCAAGTTCATACGGAAGAAAAGGAAAACATTTTCAAACGTAAGCAAATTGAATAGAAAAAACCAAAATATTTAGCTGATGAGTCAATGCTCACGGAACAAAGCGCATCGCTAAAACGGTTTACCTTCCTTTCTGTAAAGGTGATAAATTTCAGAACCATTTAAATATCATCAATTATTTCGACATTTCGTTGTGCATTTACAATTAAAGTGTAGTGTATTTACAATTGATCTGTATTCATGTTCTACTTAGATTAAGGCCCATTTCGGCCGATATCTATTTCGAAAAAAATAACTGAGACTGTAATGCGGAAAAATTGCTGATGAATGTATTTTGAATGTACGTCCGCCGAGAGTAGGGTCAAGTTTGACAGTACACGTACATGCATGTGGTGATTCGAATGGAACTCGAGAAAGGAACTCGAGAAAAACTCGTGATTTGAATTGTAGAAGAATGAAGAGAATTTGCTTCTATACTTTCTGTTTCATCACTCAATGAATCAGCAATAACCCAGTCAGTTTATATCCGAAAGACTTCCTTGTTTATCAATTGCAAAATATTACAAAATGCAGCCCGAATAAAACTCAGATGAATCGGAAGAAAACCCCCCAGCTGCTGATTTCCCCTATAGGGCTCAGATGGGATAATAGTGAACCTGGAATAAGCCCAAAATGGCACATGGAACAGGGCCTACGCCACGAATTTGAAAGTGGGGGGGGGGGGTAAGGTTAGCAAAAGTAGGGGGCCAAGGCGTTTTCCATTTTTACTGCTGCTTAAAAACTACTTCTTTCGCAAAAAAGTGGGGGACATGGCCCCTCCGCCCCCCGGTGGCGTAGGCCCTTTGGAATTGAACATTGGATTTTGTGCATGGGTTTGATTAATGCCATAGCCTTTTCGAAGTGAAAATAGCTGTTGGGGGCAAGCCTTAATTTATATAAAGCGGAGGACAATAGCCAATAGTTTGAAACA